GTAGGTTTTAAACGAATTGGAGAAGACGTGGGTGTTGCTGCGGCCCGGCGGGATAGGGCTGCCTCGTGAGATGCGGTTACCTGTCAACACAAAACTCATTTGTCCGCTTAATGTTTCCCCTGTCGGAGTAATCAGAAACGAGCGTTTTGCAAGTGCACAGTAATCAGTCAAAAGGGCCTGAAACTGCCTGGGAGCCATGGTGAAAGCTTGTTTTCGTTAATGGACATGAGACTCGGATGGCTCCACGCCCTGCCCCTTAGCTGCACCGCTAACGGCGCAGCCCTCGTTAGCCTCCGGCATCCGCCCCCTGCGCTGTCTGAGGAGAGGTGTGTGGTGATGAATGTAGCCAGCAGGCCAGACAGATGGATCCTGAGCAAAATGAGGCCAAATGGTTATTTCTGTTAAAACTCTTCAAGGCAGATGCCGTAATGCCTTCAGCTGTTTGACCAAATTCACTGAATTCACCTGAAGACCATTCTGTGGAGCTGCCAGTGGATGGGGCCTGGCCCTGCCTGGTGCCAGACAGATCACCTACTTTAAACACCAGACAAACGGTAAAATGCAGAAATTTGGAGGTGTGTGCGGCAGCACTGTCAGAGCTGGCCTCTGCTGTCAGCACTGTGGGCTGCAGCGTGCTGTCCTATGTTTTCTGCCCCAAGATCCTGAGTTTATTGTCTCTGTTCCAATGGGTGGCTACAGGAGCCAGTTTTAAAGTCACATTTTAAAATGGTTTCTAAGGGATCTTTTATTTAATTCATGGTAATTTGTGTGATCTGTTTGCCTGTGGTCCTGCCCTTGGTTACACAGATCCCACTCCAAATTGTACAGCATGTACCATGGAGATAGGTTTGGCTTTCATTTACACAGGACCCCTTTATAATGCTCCAGCAGGTCCAGACGCTGGCTCTCTTCTGTTACAGGGGTTTTCAGTGGATGCTGCCTCACCCAGCCCACCCTAGAGATGATACGCATTACCCTGGGGAACTGCCCGTTTTTCTTCTGTGTCAGTTGATAAGCGGAGTCTGGGGCATTCTGTTAAGTGTTTTTACATGTGCAGTGTGTGTTTGTTTACCTGCAAATGTATGACTAGTTGCACATGCTCTATGGCTTTTTTCTTTTCATAAAATACTTTGTGAGAGAACTACCAACTGTTCTGAGCCCAAACCAGGGCAGCCTGGGGCTAAGCACTAATGATAATTTCTTGTCTCAAGTATCAGATTATAAATTTGGTTGATTTTCCACAATTAACAGATTCATTTTGGATGACTTGAGAGATCTTCCGTACTAAACCAAGTCTTGCTGAAGTGCAGCTGTAGATGATATTTATTTTTGAGACACAAAACAAATACTCCAAGGCAGCCTTTATCAGAGGTTCAGTAAAAAACTTGGAAATCAGCTCCGTCAGTCATTGCTTGCAGGCATCATTCCTTTGTCCGGATCAACGTTTATTTTCTGAAGTGTGTTTCTTGATAGTACTAATGTGATTATCCCACTTTTCTATACAACAAAAGCAATTTGATTTCAAAGCATATTTGTAAATACCATGGCCTTTCACATTTAAATGTGTTTCTTTTTATTCATGTGTGTGTAGAGCGTTGCACAGCTGGATCACACACACTTATTTTGAGTAGACTCAGTATGTTACCAAGCTCAGGTTCTGCTATCTAAGTTCATATGAATTGCTTTGCAGAAATGGTTGGGGTTAGAAAACTTTTGGAAGGTTTAAAGTGAGCAAGTTGTATCTGTTCTCAGTTATGTTCTGGAGAAATGTCTGACACCTTAAAGCACCTCATTAAAGCCTTGCCTCGAGAGGATGCATTTCAGCCAGCACTGGGGTAAACATCACACCTTGTTTCCAGCAAACCCACCAGAATGCAGGAGGTGGTGTTTACACCAACACAAGCCGTGGGTGCAGCCTAGCTTACGCTGCCTCCTCACTCCAGCTACTTGCCTGGTGCATCGCTAGCTTCTGGGAGAAATCTCTCTGGGGAACATCAAGGGGGGCAGCACTGTCCTGGGACATCAAAGGTGGAGGCCTCGGTGCTTGGAAGACAGAAGAGGGTGCTGAAAGCCCTGCAGGCTAGCTGAGAGAAGGCCAGTTGCAGAGCAGCGGTGAGCAGTTTACGCAGCCTTGCTCCCCTCGACGCTGGGTGAGCACCACAGGAAAGCAGAGGGAGGCTCATTCAGCACAACTTGGTTCAGGTCACAAGATTAGAAATAATGGGTCACGAGCAAAGCAGTGTAAACAAACCTGTTCCAACTTGAGGAAGCGTCTCTCAACTGCTGAGCTGTCTTACCTGGGATCCCACCGACATGTCCTGACTGTTGGGGGTGAGGGTTCACACTGGCTTCTGGGCACAGCCTTGAGCAGCAGGACGTAAGAGAGGCTGGGGACCAATGATCCCCACCTCCATAGGCCAGTGCCATGCCTAGCAGACCCTCTGAGCTCCTGCATACAATTTCTCCATGTAGCGTGAACCTAATTAAAGAGCCTCTGCAGTGACCTTGCCATAGGCACCCACTGTGCTCCAAGCACTGCTTTAACCCTGCTGTTCACCGTCTGGTTCCTACAAAGAATGAATGCAGTGCCAGTGACTCACCTTGCATTTGCATCAGCCTTGAGAAAGGGATTCTGGATGGTTCCGACAATTATTAGGGGCTGCGTGCCCCAGGACGCTTAAAAACTACCACAGTACTGCCTCTGCCTGCTCCGTGGTCACCCTTACCTCTTCGGTGGTCCACACAACAGCCCAGCCAGACAAATATGGTCAAATGAGGTGTGCGCAGACAGCCGCACTGTCTGAATTACCCAGGGAATTACCCTGGGCCCACACTGGAGATCAGAGGCAAGCGGTGACACTGCAGGGACATTGAGCTAGTGGGAGCCACCCGTAACTCCCACTAGGAAGAGAGAAAACACATAGTAACTCTGGCTGTTCCCTCCTCCTGGGGCTGCAATGGTGCTGGAACAGTGATATCCCACCCATGACTTGGGGGCCCCTGATGCTTTTCATAGTCACGAGAGCCACTCTCTCCTGAACAGAATACAGGGGGGCAAAACCACAAGGCACTGCCCAAGCCTCAGGCTTGCAGTTATACCTACAGCCTGTAAAGTTTAGTGACTGCTGATCTACAGCCAGGATCTATTGCTACCCTGCTGGGGAGGAAATTCTTTCCCTTTCAGCACAGCTGTGTCAGGCTGTGCCTCTGGGTAAAATTTGCCAGTGTTGCTTCAGGATTTAGTGAAATGCTTGAGCGTAGGCTCAGTTACCTTAAATTAAATCTCATGCTTACATGTGCTGCTGGATCCAGACCTGACATCCTGCCTTGTAATTCCTCAGGTCCCATAGATTTCAGTGAAAGATAAGGACATTGAGCACCTCAGAAAACGCATCGTACCTCAAAGGCTTGGTCCCTGCATATGTAGTACCTGATTCAGCTTCATCCTCATCAGCTGTTTGACTCAGGAGATGGAGGGTAGCACTTCTCAGTGATGAAAAACAAGTTGAAGTGAGGCAGAAAAATCTGTGATAAATTAGTGTGGAAAGTGTTAATGGGGCCAAATGTCCTGAGTTTATTGGATTAGGGAAGGCAAACTAATTTTAAAATTATGCCTAGAGAGTGGGAAACTAGATATCGTTAGCCATTTATCTGACAACAGAAAAGTCTTAATGGCTGTCATCTCAGCACATTAGGAAAACACTGTCAAAGCTCTGGCTGACAAGATGCTTTCTCAGGGATTATTAATTATATGGCGTTATTAGCCAGCCACAGTATGGGAACATATTTCCCATGTTAACTAAAGTGTAACAACCATTTAGCTAATAAGTATGACTCAGCCTTTTAAATTTTCTTAATGATTAGCAACTTAGTAAAA